CAGTTTACATACCACCTGACAACGTGCTTAATTTCCCTCACTATCAGAATTGACTCCATTTCAGTGTCCAACTACCTGCTTGGTGCTGAACATTAATAAAGAATAAAGGGTGGAGGAAAAAACTTTTTTTAAAAAAATAAATTCTTCCTGAGCTACCATTACTAGGCCATTATTTTGTATGCATGCATCCATAATCATATTGTAATGTATAATATGTATCTGGTAGATAGTTAAAGATCAAAAATTTCACAAAAATTAGGATCACGATTCGTTTCTAACTGGAGTTTCTTTTAAAATCCCAACCTTAATTTATTCCTTTCAGCTACAGTAACATTCATCTTCTCCGTCTTTTCAATTTTTAAAACCCATGTTATAAAAAATTTAGATTTAAATCATTCAAGAAAAGTAATTTCAAAAGAGATATAAGAACAGAAACATTTCTGTCATTGATGTCTTGTTAGTGAAAGAAGATTTATTCTTCATCTAAATTAGTTCACAATTTTAAAAAAGAGATTTTCCCTGCAGACAGTGCTGAACTGATTTAACTAAAATATAAATATAATTGCATGGACTTTGATTTCCTTGAAGTCATTATTTCAGCAAATCTACAACATAAATATTTGTAAAGTGTAACAGATAATAATACATAGCATAGATGTATTTAAAACTGCCAAAGTGATGCCCGAGATGGCGTTCAATTTTCATTAATATCAGACAACTTAACATGTGGCCAAATGCACTGCTCATGGCTGTAGCTATTAAAACATTTGGTTAAAGTAAGTGAATAAGATCATCTGTTCAATTCAGTAAGTAGCCATCATGTTTATTTTAAGGATTTTTTTTTTTTTTATGAGCTACAAAATAGCAGTTTTCCCTCCACCCATTCCCCAGAGCTGCTGTTGTTCAGAGGATCAGATGCATCACTAGGGCTGAGGGAAATATGATCAGCGCCCCTGACGTGGTGGCCTTCACCAGAGAGGAGGAGCTGGAGGATGAACTGTACAGCGAGCCGCCTCTACCCGAGGAGTACTCGGTGCCGCTTTTCCCCTTTGCCAGCCACGGCGCCAACCCCTGGGCCAAGGTCGCCAGCTCCAAGTTCACCCGGGACTTCATCCTCATCTCCGAGTTCTCGGAGCAAGTGGGGCCCCAGCCCCTCCTGACCATCCCTGATGACACCAAAGTGTCAGGCACTTTTGATCTCAATTATTTTTCCCTCCGGATCATGTCAGTGGATTACCAGGCTTCCTTCGTGGGGCACCCTCCTGGCTCTGCCTACCCAAAGCTGAACTTTGTGGAGGACTCCAAGGTGGTGCTGGGGGACTCGAAGGAAGGAGCATTCGCGTACGTCCACCACTTGACTCTGTACGACCTCGAAGCCAGGGGTTTCGTGAGGCCCTTCTGCATGGCCTATATCTCTGCTGACGAGCACAAAATCATGCAGCAGTTTCAGGAACTCTCCGCTGAGTTCTCCAAAGCTTCTGAATGCCTAAAGACAGGGAACAGAAAAGCTTTTGCTAATGAACTGGAAAAGAAACTGAAAGATCTCGACTACACTAGGACTGTTCTGCACAATGAAACCGAGATACAGAAGAAAGCCAATGATAAAGGGTACTACACAACTCAAGCCATCGAGAAGGCCAACGAGCTGGCCAGCGTGGAAAAGTCTATCATCGAGCACCAAGATCTGCTGAAACAAATCCGGTCATATCCCTACAGGAAGTTGAAGGAGTCTGACTTCCACCCCTACGAGCCGGAGCGTGCGCTGGATCAGGCCAATGCGGGCTGTGATCAGGATCTGACTACCTCCGACCTTGCTGAGCCTGGTGAAACACACCTTTATGCTCATGTGCCGTCCTATACCCCCAAGCTCATCAAAGCGAAGTCTGCCAAATGCTTTGACAAGAAGCTGAAGACACTGGAGGAACTCTGCGATATTTATTTTTTCACCCAAACCCTTGACCAGTTGCAACAGATCGAGAGGACTTTCAGAGGTGACATGTGCTACCTCCTGACAGACCAGATCAGCAGGGCACTCTTAAAGCAACAAACCGTAACTAACTTCCTCTTTGAGGATGCATCTTTTCTGGATGAAAAACCACCTGAAAAACAGTACAGAGGCTGCGAGGGGCTCAGCCAAGATGCCATCGATAGGAAGTGTTTGGAAGAGTTCCCTGCTCCTAAAGTGGTCATTAGCCTGGGATCCTACAAGTCCAGCGTGGAGTGTGTGCCCATCAAGATGGAGCAGGAAATTGATGACTCCCAAGAACCCAAAATGACTGAGTCTGTCACATTCGAACACCAGGAGAACCTGGACTATCTCGATGCAGATATTAAAGGCAGCATCAGTAGTGGTGAGAGCATCGAGGTTCTTGGAACGGAGAAATCTGCATCTGGCTTGACAAAATCGGAGAGCCAGGCCAGTCTACCCATCAGCCCCAGTCCCCAGGTGGGCAGGAGCAAGGTGGGCAGCCAGCGGACTGTCAGCGAGGACAGCATCGAGGTTCTCAGCACATGTCCCTCTGAGTCACTCATCCCAGAAGATTTCAAAGCGAGTTACCCAAGTGCCATTAATGAGGAACCTTACATGGATGATGAAGAGGGAGGCCTTCATTTCACCTCCAAACTAAACCTGGACAGTGTCGATGAACAGGGAAACGTTTCAAAACAGGAAAACTTAGTGCAGGTTGATTCTGCCTGTTGTATCGGGAAGGAGAGTCCCAACTTCCTCGAGCCTCTGCCTGACCTGGGACAGAAGCCCTGCGATGAGGACGGGGTGGTCAGGATCCCCCCGCAGCCGTACCGGCAGGCTGAGCAGGGGCTGCGTGGGAGCTTCGGGGGCTTCCCCTCCCGCGACGGCATCTCAGGGGGTCTCCTCCCTTATGAGCTTGACTCACGCTACCTGACAGGCAGCAGGGAGGTCAGTAAGAGCAGCCTGGATGAGTGCTCAGACTCCACAAGCTATATCAGCAGCGCTGCCTCCACGTGCTCCGACAGGACCCCTTCTCCTGCTTACCCCGCCTGTCAGGAAAGCGAAAGACACAAAAAAAAGGCCGGTCAGAACGCACTGCGGTTCATCAGGCAGTACCCCTTTGCTCACCCCGCCATCTACTCCCTGCTCAGTGGGAGGACCCTGATCGTGCTGGGGGAAGAGGAAGCAATAGTCAAGAAGCTCGTGACGGCGCTCTCCATCTTTGTGCCAAACTGCGGCGTTTACGCCAAGCCCGTGAAGCACTGGGTCACTTCCCCTCTGCACATTGTGGATTTCCAGAAGTGGAAGCTGATTGGTCTCCAGAGGTAAATCAAGGATCTGTTTGCTTTATCGGTGTCGAGGTGTATGATAAAAACTTCATCTCCTAGGCAGGAATTTCAGAGGGGAATGGGTGCACAGGGGAGGTCTCTGTCTTATTAGCTACACAACTGCCACGAATTTTTGCTTATGGGATATATTTTGAAGGAGTGTAAATTTGTGGTTTTTATATCCAGCCTCACTTGAGAGTTAGTATTTAAAACATCTGCTGGGCGTTTGCTGCCTGGCTCATACTAGTTATTTGGCCAGGAAGTTTCCCTCTGTTTTAGGTCTTCACCTGGCAAAGCACAAAACAAAGACACGAGTCCTGCTGGTTTCCTGGTCTGATAACAGTGTGGTCCTCGAGTCCCTGCTTTCCCTGTCTCCTGCCAAAACTTCTGACGTTTCTAGCTAGAATTTTGCTTTTGAAATGGATGCTTTGATACAGGGAGGATGTTTCCCCATGGACCCTAACGAAGAAACAATGCACTGGTGATGAGATGTGTGCTGGCCAGGTGTTGTGGGGAAGGGCAGCAGCATGGAGGATGCAGACCTGCTGGGCTCTTTTTGAAGCACTGCAGATGGACAGGGACTTGTTAACAAGCCTTAGTGTGGGGGAAAAAAGTCTGTGGAGCTCAGCAGGCTGCGGTGTTGGGATTGCAGTTCAGATGAAAGGAAACCTGCTCGGGGTGGGGACCATCGTGAAAGCAAGCACCTCTTCCCAACCCCCAGTCCTGAAACGTGGCTTCACAGTTTATATTAACAAATAGCAGTTGCTCAGCTCCCAAAATTTTGGCCCTCCCTTTGTTGCTGTTATGAAAAAGATTTTCTTTGTGTGCTACCAGGATGTGTTTGGTGCTTGGGGTGCAGGTATGACAGGGAATGGCCATTACTGTCACCAACATAGAAAACATGAGTCAGAGTGGCAGCCCATTGCTCAGAGCTGTGCTGGAATAGCTCCTGAAAGAGTGTTTCAGAGCAGCATGAAAATCAAAATACAGAAATGTGCTTCCTGCTGCTGAGTATTGCATCGCTGGGGTTGCAGATGATGAAATTATCCTAAGCTGTGAGTTTACCCTCATGTCTGTGCTCAGGAGGCAGGGTGACAGCTCTGCCAACAGCTGCTCCCAAACTTCTCTGTCTGGCGGTGAGGTTTTTAAAAGCCCTGAGTGTTTACTTGTTGCTCAATGTTTGTGGTTAGATGCAATTTTTGTAAACAAAATTTGATTGTGGGTTTTTTTTTAAGAACTGCTTGTAACATGTGTCAGTCATTTAAACTCTCCTCGATGGAATGTTAATTAAGTGTTGAGTTTAAAGTGGGTGCTGTCAGCGAACCATTTGTACAAGGGCTTTGGGAAGGAATTTGGAGGCTAAATTAATTATTCTGGTGAGGGTGCTGCATCTCCTCAGGCCAGACGCTGCCTGGGCACAGGGGTAGCCCTTGCACCAGCAGCTGGGGCTCTGGCTTGAGGTTGGGAGCTGTATCTCAACTGAGTGACTTTAACCCTGCAAAATTGAGGAGCAGCAGGTAGAGTTTGCGTTGGCTTGTAATTTGCATTTAAATAACATTAATTTAGGCTTGTTGGATGATGGTATGTTGTGAACGTGCTGTGGGTTTGCACCTGAGTGAAAATGGCCCAGACTAAGCCAGGGAATATTCTGATTTAAGGATGGTTCCCTTTTCAAAGGCAGGGCAGAAGGTTTTGCTTTTCTGAGGGCTTTGACCATCTCAGAGCAGCCCCCGCCCAAAACAGCACTGTGAGGGGAGAGTGGAGCTCTTGGCAAGGGGGGCTGCTTTGGGTTTCTGGGACTTTGTGGTCACATCCAGAAGCTACCAACTGCTGCAAGATTTGCTTCCGTTCACCAAAGATGTCCTATCGCTTCCTCTCCATGTGGCCGAGGGAGGAAGCTGCCCTGAAGCACAGTGATTTGTGAAGCACTGCACACACAGTGTGGATTAGTGCACGTGGGGGATCCCAGGAATGGAAGTTTCCTTGGGATCTGGCAGGCTAGAGGGACAGGGAAGGGATCTTACCCCTGAACTTGGCCCTGGTGAGGCTGCAACTCAATGAGTGGGTTCAGTCTTGGGCCCCTCCCTACAAAAAGGCCATTGAATGACCCGAGTGGGTCCAGAGAACGGCAATGGAGCTGGTTCAGGGTCTGGAGCACAGGTCTGCTGGGGAGCGGCTGAGGGAACTGGAGGGGTTTAGTCTGGAGAAGAGGAGGCTGAGGGGAGACCTCCTGGCCCTCTACAGCTACCTGACAGGAGGGTGCAGAGAGGGGGGATGAGTCTCTTGAGCCAAGGAACAAGCGATAGGCCAAGAGGGAATGGCCTCAAGCTGTGCCAAGGCAGGGTCAGGCTGGCTCTGAGGAAGGATTTCTGTGCAGAAGGGGCTGTTGGGCGTTGGAATGGGCTGCCCAGGGCAGGGGGGAGTCCCCATCCCTGGAGGGGTTGAAGAGTCGGGTTGACCCAGCGCTGAGGGAGGTGGAGTTGGGAACGGTCAGTGTGAAGTTCATGGTTGGACTTCGAGGTCTTTTCCAACCTTGATGATTCTGTGACTATTTGGCCATTCTCTCCCGTGCTAGATTTTATTTCCCTGCAGAGGCTCTTGCACCAGCTCATGAGCTAGAGGGAAAGCATGCATGATACAGGGGCACAGACACTGGCTGCTGCTTAACTGTCTGGTTCCCTCCGGCTGTGACCTCTCCCCTTGCTGTTTCAGGATGGTGTCACCTGCCGGGGTGAACGTGCTGCACACCCTGAGCCGCTACAGCCGGTACGTCAGCATTCTGGACGCCGACAGTAAGACTCTCCGCTGCCCGCTTTACAAAGGCACCTTGGTGTCACGGCTGGCAGACCACCGCACACAGATCAAACGAGGAAGCACCTACTATATGCACGTCCAAAGTATCCTCACCCAGCTGTGTTCAAAAGCCTTCCTCTTCACCTTCTGCCATCATTTGCACCTTCCCATCAGTGAAAGGGAACCGGAGGAATCTGTAGTGAATCGCAGGATGAACTTTCTGAAGCTTCAACTAGGCCTTGCCAACGAAGATATCAAAATTGTACAGCATTTAGCTGAGCTGCTGAAGATGCAGTACATTCAGGAACCCGGCCAGGGGGTGAACCCCCTGCTCAGTTTTGACTATGTTCCCAGCTTTTTGTACAAAATCTAGCCTTGCGCGGGCTGTCTGCCTGTGTCCTCCGAGTCTGACAAAGCTCATCCGTGCTTGACATTGATGCTGTCTGCAGTAGCTCTCATAGGTCGGGAAGGGGCGAAGTAGCCGATGTGTTTGCATGTGTCTCTGCTCCGCAGAAATCAGTGTCTGAGGGACTGGATTTCTGTGTGGTTCCCTCTAGCCAAGAACGTAGATATTCCATCACATAAAACACCAGGCACTCTGTTTTAAAGTGTTAGAAGGGGCACTGTTAACTTTGCAAATGTATCGTGGCAACATCCCAGGGGGATTCTGGTGTGGAGAGAGAGGTGAGCTGCCTTGGGGATAAATACTTACTGGCGTGCAGCCCCCAAAAATAATGCAGCATTCCGCACACTTCTGCCAGAGCCTAAAATGCTGTTGGTCCCTCCCATGGAGCCAGGGTGGAGACCAGAGGGGAGATGTAAAGGCCACATAAAGGTTTTTAATCCACTTGTGTCTCATGTGAGTGTAGCTCGGAAGCTCCCTGGCAGGGTGGCAGCTTGCAGTGATCTGTCTGTATGCAGCAGTAGCGGATGGTCTGTCCCTGCCTGCATTTTTCCGAGTTTCCTGGCGCTTCCCAGGACAGATTGTCCCTGGGTGAGCGGGAGCACGCTGAAGGCTCACGTGTTTCTCTCCAGAAAGCGTTTGCTCATTTCTCTCAGCGATGTTAAAATCTGGAATGTGGAAGGACTCCCTAATGCTGGCGAGCACCGAGGCGCCCACGGCTGTGAATGTAGAGCACTGTGCCTTGTTAATTTTTCACGTCCGATTTGCTGGGTGACCTCTGAGAAGGATGGGAGGGAGACCAGGAATCCTCAAAGCATGTGAGCTCAGGGGCGGCCTTTTAAGGAGAGAGGGGAACTGAACAGTTGGGGCGGGGGGCGCCCTCATTTTTAGGTGCTTTTTGTGGTGGGGAAACAGTGCAATTCATCTGAAGCCACACTGTGAGACAGCAGCTGTTAGAGCGGGCTCTAGAGTGCTCAGGAGAGATTGGGGATGAATGTACTGGATTTGTTGTAGCCGTAATAGTTTCAGGTTGGTTTTTTGTTTCTTTTTTTGTTGGGGAGTTGACTTTTTTGCTTTGCAGTAAAGCAGGGTCAGCATCGCTGCATGCTGCTTCTGGCTGAGCCTTCGTCGTGTCTTGACTACCTCTCCTGGGGTGCTCCTGGGTAGCTCTGGATGGGGCAGAACTGCTGCTCTCTGAGCCCGGACACCGAGGACATTCATTTCAGAGCTTCTGTGCCACAGCCTGTGCCATAAAGGTTGTGCCACCAGCGCAGTGACACTCCTGGATTGTTCCTGTTGGTGCCGAAAGCCTTGTGCCTGGGCACAGCATTTCTCTCTAGAATCTGGTAGGAGATCTGCTCCTCGGCCACTGGTCCCAGGCTGCTCCTTGCTCTGTCCAGTGCCACGTGGCAGTAACAGCCCCCATGGTCCTTTTAAGCAAGAATAGCCTTGCTAGGAAAGATGTCCTTGGGTTTATTTCTTTTTAGTACTCTTCTCATTATGGAGTGAGAATAGCTGCGATTGTACAAGATGAGCTGTTGTGCTGTTTGATTTGAATTTTATTTGTGTTTTTTATTTTTAAACCTCTGTTGATTGTGCTGTTGCGAGGCCGTACTGGGGATGAGCACTATGTTCCTTCTGTGCCCCAAGAAGTTTCTGTGTAGGGACTGGGCTTCGTCAGTGTGACTTAGACCCCACTGAAACTTGTGCTGCTCTGAAACCTCTGTCCCGAAGGTGGAGAGGCTCTGTGGGGAGGCTGTCGTCCAGCGCCTGTGCTTCCATACCTCTGCCACCTCTCCCCTGGAAAGGGCTCCCTGGGTAGCGCGGGAGGTACAAACCAACAAGGCAGAGAGGCTGGTTTAAACCGTTAGTGGTGTTTTTCTGGTGGTTTGCAGTGAGGCCAGCTCAGCTGCACCCGTGATGCTCTCCAGAGGGATTTCCAATGCCAGGGGTTGCTTGGGATGGTGTTTTTCAGTGGTGGTTGGGAAGCAGTGTGGCATTGCCTGTGCTGAAGGCGAGCATTGTGCACGTGTGTGGAGCTGCACGCCTTTACAGCCTGGGTAACGGCCTTTTCCTTTCCTAATTGTGCCCTTCTGTTGCGTGTGAACTGGCTCTGCCAGCAAAAGATTTCCATGTCCATCGAAAATGCCTGTTTTCTGGAGTGACTTGCGGTATCCCCTCGTCAATTCATGCACACCCGAATGGCTTCCACGCCAAAGCTGATGCGAGATTCCCCGGGGGAAGAGTCAGCTCAGTCCATGAGTAACACAGATGACACCGGGCAGACGCAAGCTCCCTCTGGAGAAGTGCTCAGCACTGCAGCTTGTTTCCTGCTGGAACACAACCAGATGCTATTTTGGTTTGTGGAGGGAGGGATGAACTTCTTTCCAGCTGACTCACACCTTCCTCCAGGCTGCCGGTGTGGAGTGGGATCAATCATTAGTGTTGGCTGATCTCTTAGTCACGGTGGTCTCGACCTGCGGTGTTCAGCTGCACTCAGAAATGGATAAATAACTCATTTCTCTCTATCAAACCTGTAGTATCAGCAATACTTGCACTACCACCTGTCTGACCTGCTTCATCTCTGCCACAGAGCAGCTCAGACTTGTGAGGAGGCCCCAGGGCTTGCTGAGACGTCGCCTCATTTCAAAAACGGGAGCTCTGCACTATCTGCAACTCGGCTCTTAAGCAGGAGCTGTGGGGAAACACCCTGGAGCGCTCACGGTTCAGTGACCCCTGAGCTCAGGCTCCAGGAGAGGGGGAGTTAACGCCGTGCTGGGGCACCTTGGTGCAGCCGGAGCCCAACCTGCCCATGTTGGTGGCAGAAATTGGGGGGAGTCTGAGCGCAGCTGGAGGTTCGGAAGCTGAATTCCTCTTTGCTCAGTAATTTCTCCGTCTGACCTTCTGATCCTGTACAGTTAAGATCCCTATATTGGCACTTTAAGACTTTCTCCTCATCTTCACTGTGTTACCTCACAAGTTCCCGCTATTAGCAGACTTACTACAAGTTCTGATCTCCGTCCTAACAGCTCCCGCAACAAAACTCAGCGTGTGTTTGCCAGTTTGCCCTGTGCCACCCGAGCGCCGCGCGCTGCCGTCCAACCATCCTTCCGCCGGAGCGGGTCGGTTCCTCGCAGCCCCTGTGCAATACTCGCCGGCTCTCCGGCCAGCGGGGCCACGCATGGCCCTCGCCCGCTTCCGTGAGCGCTGCCAGCATGCCCCTGCCTCCCGCACGGCTCCCTCCTGTCAGGGAGGGGAGGTTTTAAGCTTGACTGAGAATTCATCAGAGCAAGACTTCCCTGGCCAGGAGCACAGGGCTCCTTTTTCTTACCCCTCTGCTTTCCTGCGTTAACAACTCCAACTGCCAACGTGACACTAGCCGGCGGCTTTCAGATCCCACCCTGAGGAGGGTCAGCCATAGGAGCGGGTGATAATAACCCGACACAGGTTTCATTTCTCAGAGAATAGTGCTCGGATTTTCTTTCATCCAGTAGCAATCACTTCTAAGCAGCTCCAAAGCTGCCTTGCCTTGATTAGGGAGGTACCGCCTATACTCTAGCAATATTCACCATTTTGTAAGGGGTGGGAGAGGCACATGAGGGGTGAGAGCTGACGGCTCCATACCCCCCAAGCCAGTTTGGGGGTTTTAGGGGAAGTGGGGGGGCCCTGAGCCCCCCAGTCTGATGGTGGGTGACTGCCCACGCTGTGGATTCAGCGTCTCAGAGAGCTGGGCTGGATGTGGGGCTTGTAGCAACACTGAAAAGGCTCCTGGTAATAAGGCACGATTAAAAATTTTAACAAGCTGCCTTGCGCCGCGCAAACAGACTGTACCCCAGATCAGAGGGGTCACAAACCCACCGCACGCTGCTCCCTGAGACGCGTTGTCACTGAAACACAGGGTACCCGGTCCCGCTGGCCACTGGCGCAGGGCTGGGGCTGGGCTGCCAGGAGGCTGTGATGAATTCTCCCCTTATTTTAAAGCACTGTATCCTATTACTGCATGTCGAGTTCCGTGTGCGTGCCCGTGCGTGCCGAATGCTTGCGTCGGTAGTTAGAGCGAGTGTGACCGGGAGAAATCCAAGAAGCATGTCTTAGTGTCGTGCTGTAGGTGTTACTGCACAAGAGTTTAACAGATGTTAACACCAAATGACTAGTCTGAGAAATGTACTTTTAAAAAAAAAAATTATTTATTTGGGTTCAAATATTTTTGAAATACAAAAAAAAAATATTTGGTTGTATTTTTTAAAGCTCATAATTCTTGTCATACATTGTGGTTAAATTCTTAATTTTATCGTGCTTATTAAAAAATGGTTCTACCTAAGCTTTGTGCTCAGAGGTCTGAGAAATTACTGGAGATGCTGGCTAGGACAGGACGGTGAGCCCAGGAGGGCACGGGGGGCAAGGCTGGGCTTTGGCAAAGCCTGTGGAGGGGTGTCTCCCACCGAGGCAGGACCCCTCTGTCCTTCCTGTCTGGGGGACCATGGGCAGGCCTGCCTAAACCTCAGCTGCCGCTCCTGCTGCCAGTGAGCGCAGGATCAGACCCAGCCCTGAGGCTGAGGGTTCACCTGTAACATTTAACGGTGAAAGGACTGGTTCCCCCCGCGGGGGGGCTGTGCTTAGGGGGTGTCCTGTGCCCGAATGGGAGGGGAGAGGTGTAAGAGCTGAAGAAGGAGCCGCTGCTGTGGTGCAGCTGCGCTGGGAGAAGGCACTGCGGTGTTGGTGAGCGTGGCACCATCCCTGGTGCTTCCCCTTAGAGGACAGGCAGCCCGGGGAGCGGGAAGGCTGCGGCAAAGGCCTCCACCTCTTCCTTCAGGGCCTTCAGCTCCCCCCGGTATTTCTCCTCATCCAGTTTCTCCTTGAATTCCTTCAGCGTGGCCTTGGGGCTCATGTCCTTCTGCACACGCAGCGTCAGCTCGATACCTGCCAGGACGGGGCAGGGGGGACACGCGTGGGTCAGCCCCCACCGCTGCAGCACCCCTGCCTGCGCCTGCTCTGAGACATGCGGTGGGGTGGGAACGGGGCTGCGAGGGACCTGCTGCCCCAGTGTGGGACAACTGGAACTAGACTGGGAAAAGGCAAGAGCTTTAATCCTGGCTTTCAGTGGGGAGTGTTTGGCTGGTCCTGGCTGTGACCAAGTGTTCTCTCCCACATCCAGATGTGCAGGCAGGAGGGTTACTCCTCGCTGTCGCCAGCTGCTGGGGGAGTCACCCAGCTTGTGCCCTCTCACCCAGAGGAGCTGCCCTGGCCCCCAGTAACCCCATGTGCACCACCTGGGCCTCACCTCTGTGGATGTAGTGAGCCACCACGCGGAAGTTGTCCTCCCGGAAGCCACGGGAGGTGAGAGCTGGCGTCCCAAACCGCAGGCCGCTGGGGCGCAGGGCGCTGATGTCACCTGCACCAGAACAAGTCACACGTCACCAAAACCAAGGCCCAGAAACTCTGCATGTTTCCCAGTTCCTCAGGGGGAACTGTGAGCCCTACAGGAAGCTCTGCACGGGCTACAGGAGAGCCCTGGCGTGTGGGGCTGGACATGGCAGAGCTCATGGGATTCCTCACCAGGGCACGTGTTCTTGTTGCAGGCAATGGAGCAGATCTCCAGCACCCGCTCGGCCCGGCCACCGTCCGTGCCTCTGCTGCGCAGGTCCAGGAGGATGAGGTGGTTGTCGGAGCCCCCTGTGAAGAGAAGGGGGTTGTGGGGAGGTTTATGTGTGGGATTGGGGTATTCGCTGCTCCCATGTGAAACTTCAGTGAAAAAGGCTTGGGATTGCACCAGGGCCTGCCCCTCGTTTTGGGGGCAGAAGTGGAGCTGCCCTTGGGAAAGATCAGGGGGCTGGAGCTGCTCCCCTGTGAGTACAGGCTGAGTTGGGGGGTTCAGCTGGAGAAGAGAAGGCTCCGGGGAGACCTTAGAGCGGCCTCCCAGGGCTGAAAGGGACTGCAGGAAAGGGGGGAGGGTCTATCATGGGTGTAGGGATAGGATGGGAGGGAACAGTCTTAAACAGAGAGGGGAGATTTAGATCAGATCTAAGGAAGAAATTCTTCCCTGTGAGGGTGGTGAGGCCCTGGCACGGGTTGTCCAGAGAAGCTGTGGCTGCCCCCTCCCTGGAAGGGTTCAAGGCCAGGTTGGACAGGGCTTTGGGCAACCTGGGCTAGTGGAAGGTGGCCCTGCCCGGGGCAGGGGATTGAAACTAGATGGTCTTTAAGGTCCCTTCTAATCCAAACCATTCTGTGATCAGGAAGCGGGGCTGCTCAAAGCAGTTTTTCAGATATCCTGAGGAACCGTGACAGGAGAGCCCTCCCTGTCACATCGGTACAGGTGCTGCCCTCAGGGCCTGGCTCAGACCTTAGGCCATGCACAGGGATCAGCCCCGTCCTGCTGCCGAGACCCGTCCTCACCTGTGACGATGTCATAGCCCAGCTCCATCAGCGCCGCTGACAGCGCTTTGCAGTTGGCGACCACCTGCTGCTGGTAGGCCTTGAACTCGGGCGTCATGGCCTGACGCAGTGCCACGGCGATCCCTGGGGAGGAAGACAGACCCAGGGGGAGTTTTTGGGGCTCCCACTGCGAAAGCTGGCTGGAGGTATGTGACACCGCCAGCAGAAATCACCCTGAAAGCTGAACAAACTGGCAGACAGTCCCTTCCCCTCACCAGGCTTGTGCCATAAGCTAAAAGGCAGGATGGGAAAAGCCCAGCTGCTCCCTGGGCAATGCTGGATCAAACTGGCTGCTCCTTGCTGTGGCTATGATGGCTACCTCCAGGCTACAAGCCCCTCAGGGCAGCTGGAGCCCCCTGTACCGCTACTGGGGGCCAGAGCCCAGCCAGGGTATCTTTGCCAGCTCCCTTTGCCATCCCAGAGCCGGCGGCCAGCCCAGCAGAGACACATACCTGCGATGGCATGGTTGTGTGGGCCTCCCTGCAGCCCAGGGAAGACTGCCTGGTTGATGAGGCTCTCCAGGTTGTAGAGTGTTTCCTTGCCCGTTTTGGGGTCCACGCTGCGGGTGCCTGCAGGAGGAAAGGGCAGGGTTACTCAGGAAGCAGCTCAGCTTCCCTTCTCCCATGAGCTGATTGCCCTCTCTGGCCTCTGAGAAGAGATGGTGGTTGATTCTCTTCAAATCTGGCCACAGTTAGCCTGGAGAAGCTCCCCAGATGCTCTCAGGAGGCCCTGGAGCTTCCTGCCCTCCCTCCTTCCCAGCTGGAGCAGGACAGAGCTTTAACTTACAGCCCCCCAGCCCTGGGGGGAAAGGTTTCTCCCGGCTCCCCGACCCACTCAGGCACCTTTGCGGTAAAAGATCATGCCAGCCCTGCAGCCCCGCAAGGTCTTGTGGGTGGTGGTGGAGACGACATCGCAGTGGTCAAAGGGGGAAGGCACCACGCCGGCAGCCACCAGCCCGCTGATGTGAGCCATGTCAGCCATCAGATAGGCGCCGTTGGCATCAGCGATCTGCCGCATGCGGGCGTAGTCCAGGTTGCGGGAGTAGCAACTGACACCTGCAGGGAGATGAGATATGGAGGGGACAAGAGCAGATGCCCAAGGACCTTGGGACAGAGCCAGGTCCAGCCCTGCAATGGGGACAGCCCTGCTGGGGACAGCACACAAGCCCCTGCCAGCATGGATGTGTTTGGGGGTGTCCCCTGGCACAGCAGAATCTGGGGGTGCCTTGTTGGAAGCGTGGGAAAAGCAAAACTGCAAAAAACCTGCAAAATGCCCTTTTCCTTAATACATGGTGCCCAGAACAAACACAGGACAGGATGGAGATCCAGTGATTTTTGTTGCCATGGCACCAAGGATGAATGCAAAGCGAGGTGAAGGCTGTGCAGTCCCATTCTTTCACTTCTCTCAAGGGATATTTGACACAACTAGATGGATTTATCACCTGCTCTTCTGCCTTTCTCAAGGAATGTTTTGCACAACTCTGCAGACATTATCTCCTGCTCTTCCTCTTTTCCCACAGCAACCATGCGCACCTTGCACCATGAAATGTGCCATGTCATTACTCAAGAAACAATGGGCTGACCACAGTCCCAGCCACTCATACACACACACTTCGACAAATACTACCCCGAGTTTGTATCTAACTTGAAGGGACGAAAATCCAGCACCAGATTGGAAGGACAGATCGACAGGTTTGTTCTCCTCGCCTCCCTGCAGCAGGGATGCCTTTGGGTAAGATTTGTGCCCTCAGCTACTCTGAGTGATTACCAGGAATTAAGTGTGTGACTGGGATCATTTTTGTATGTAGTGTTATAAAGGCAACCTGCAGTCTGTGCATTTATCATAGGCAATCTCAGAGAATCTGTAGATGTTGCATAGGAATAAACCGTCCTATTTGGGAACCTGACTGCTGCTCTTGAATGCTGCCAGACCTGCAGCACGTGGGCTGTTTGTGCATCTGGTGTCAGGCCTATAACCACAGCCATAACTGCCACAGCTGTTAAGAGATAAGTCCAGCCACCCCTAGCCCCTCTAATCTCTGAGGACCAGCTAGAATGTGAGGGGATTTATCTCTTACCAAATTAATTCATCACCTTAAATGCAACAGTGCCCTCAGGTTTACCAGGGTGCTACAGGTCTCTGGGAGCCACCTTCGCCCAGGTGTGTCACCAGGGAGGTTGGTAAGGGTCTGATTCTTACCTGCTATGATTAGCTTGGGGTGGAAGAGGCGGGCGTTCTCCTCCAGCTGGTCATAGTCAATGTAACCGGTCTTGGGATTGACCTGGGAGAGGAGGAGGAGGGTTCAGCCACCTTGGTGTGGGTGAAGATCAGCTGCAGTGTCATCCCACAGGAGAGTGCTGAGACCCTGATGCCAGTTCTTATGACAACCGCGTCCTGGCTCTGGCTGGAGCAGCTCTTGTTACCTTGTAGGGCATGGACTCAAAGAAGAGAGAGGTGGCTGAGATCTTCTTCTTGTCCGTCATGAACCCGTGGGTGAGGTGGCCGCCGTCGGGCAGGTCCAGCCCCATGATCCTGCCGTGGGGCTCCACCAGGGCCGTGTACACCGCAAAGTTTGCAGGTGAGCCTGCAGCGAGAGCACACTGGGCCAGTTACAGGTGCTGGGATGGGTGGAGGCCAGTGCAGGCAACCTGGCTCTCCTGAGCACCCCATTACCTGAGTAGGGCTGGACGTTGACACCCCATTTCTGGGGGTCGAGTTGGTATGCCTGCAGTGCTCGCTTCTGGCACAGCCTTTCCAGCTCATCTACGAACTCTGTCCCGCCGTAGTACCTGTCGGTAAAGGACAGGGCAGGGCTTAAAACTCATTACTCAGAACAGTCCCAGTGACCAAGCTGGGGACAAACCAGGGTGATACTGTGTTTGCAGCTGCCACCAGGACAGCAGACATGACCCCACTGAGATTGTCCCATGTGTGGCCAAGGACAGAAGCTGAGAGGGTTGGATCCCTGGAGGAGCTTGGCTGCTGGTACCAGGACATCGCTTCCTCTTGAGGTGAGATTTGGCAGTGTGGGTGGTTCCCCTCCCTTCCCTGCGAGGGTTTGGGTTGGGTGGGACTTGGCCTCAGCACCATACCTCTGTCCCGGGTAGCCCTCGGAGTATTTATTGTTCATGCAGGATCCCAGGGCCTCCAGGACCGCTCGGCTCGCAAAGTTTTCTGATGCAATTAACTCCAGCCCCAGCTTCTGCCGCTGCTTCTCCTTCTTAATGATGCTGTGCACCTTTGGGAGGGGAGAGAAACAGCTTCATCCATGCCAGCTCTGCACGGAGACATGGATGTTCCCCCATAGGGGATGCACCCTTGGAGGGGGAGAAGGCAGTAGAGAGGGGCCTGGAAAGGTGCTGGAGAAGGGACATGAGATCCCTTCTAGGTACAGTTGATCTCAAACTATTCCTATGTCCAGTCACAGGCCATGTTTTGGGTTTCTACCTGCCAGAAAGCTGCCAGATAATTCAGCTGTCATTTGGGCTCAAGAGTCAAGGGCAGCTGCCACGTGGCCTGGTGGCCTGGCTGCTCTGGTGCGGATGTTAGAGCTTCCAGCAGAGCAATAAATGCAAAGTTATGACCATGTTATCTGCAGATGGCTGGAGGATCCCTCCCTCCCCCTCTCTCACTGCAGGCAGAGAGGACACAGAGGATGGATGGCTCCCACAGCTCCCACCAGTCTCCCTGCCACATCCCTGGCTGGAGGAGGTCAGCAGCCCCACAGCTGTCCCAGGGGGGTGAACGGAGTGGCTACTGGGTAGGGACCGGGAAGGGGCTCTCACCTCCGGGTCGTTGCTTTCAAGTGGCTCCATCACCATCTTGTTATGGGAGGCCCAGAGCTCCGCACTGGGGAGGCCCTGCTCACCCTGTGTTGACTTTGCCATCTCCTGCTGGGTCCAAGGTCTCCTGGAAGAGGAGAGGGGTGGTGGTGGTGGGGCTGGGGGCCTCTGCCCTGCGTCCTGCTGCTCCCAACCTGCCTCCTCCCCAGAAACACACAAGGGACCAGCCACAGGCTGGAGCCCACTGGATAAGGAAAACACAGACAACTGTCAGGCTTCCCCCGCTGATTTAAGACCAGTTCATTAATTATAGTGCTTTGATAACTGATACGCTCCCATCACTGCCCTGCCTGTGCTCCCCCCACCCAGCTCTGCAGCTCCTGGCCAGACACTTGGGGACATGGTCAACCTGCGCATGTGTTGGAAGCATGAGAAAAGCAAAACAGCAAAAAACCTGCAAAACACCCATTTCCTTGACACAAGTGCCCAGAACAAACACAGGATGGGATGGAGATCAGTGTTGCCATGGCACCAAGGATGAATGCAAAGCGAGGTGAAGGCTGTTTAGTCCCATTCTTTCACTTCTCTCAAGGGATATTTGACACAACTAGATGGATTTATCACCTGCTCTTCTGCCTTTCTCAAGGAATGTTTTGCACAACTCTGCAGACATTATCTCCTGCTCTTCCTCTTTTCCCACAGCAACCATGCGCACCTTGCACCATGAAATGTGCCATGTCATTACTCAAGAAACAATGGGCTGACCACAGTCCCAGCCACTCATACACACACACTTCGACAAATACTACCCCGAGTTTGTATCTAACTTGAAGGGACGAAAATCCAGCACCAGATTGGAAGGACAGATCGACAGGTTTGTTCTCCTCGCCTCCCTGCAGCAGGGATGCCTTTGGGTAAGATTTGTGCCCTCAGCTACTCTGAGTGATTACCAGGAATTAAGTGTGTGACTGGGATCATTTTTGTATGTAGTGTTATAAAGGCAACCTGCAGTCTGTGCATTTATCATAGGCAATCTCAGAGAATCTGTAGATGTTGCATAGGAATAAACCGTCCTATTTGGGAACCTGACTGCTGCTCTTGAATGCTGCCAGACCTGCAGCACGTGGGCTGTTTGTGCATCTGGTGTCAGGCCTATAACCACGGCCATAACTGCCACAGCTGTTAAGAGATAAGTCCAGCCACCCCTAGCCCCTCTAATCTCTGAGGACCAGCTAGAATGTGAGGGGATTTATCTCTTACCAAATTAATTCATCACCTTAAATGCAACAGCACGGACCAAAGCATATCAGCACTGTGATCTACACCTTTCCCTCTTGCTCCCCTCTGTCTGTGAGTCTTAGAGCTTCTAGGAAATGCTAGCAAATGGCCTCTTGGACAGAAGGGTGTCTTATTAAAACTGCTGTTTAGTTTCAAGGGAAGTGATCATACCCCCAGATGTCAATTTTAACGCAGATTGCATTGCCCAGCATGCTTAAACCTCTCAGCTGCTTTCCCTCATGCATAGCTGTGAGGGCAAACCTGCCCCAGGCCCTAACAGAAGCAAGCACAGCGTGTGGAGCTGAGCTCCGAGAGGCAGCAGGTCTGCCTCAGCTCGGTGGTGGCACACGTGATGCCCAGGGCTGGCAGCAGCCCCCCAGCCCCTTGATGCGACTGCTGCTAGCATTATAATGCAGAGCACAAGTTCCCAGGCAAGCATGACAGCCCAGCTTCTGCCTTGGCTGAAAACAATGCATCTTTTTACTCATTAACCCTGCAAGGCCAGCAAAGGGCCGTGAGCAGGTTATTAAGCAATCACATTTAGTTTGCTTGTGCCAGGCTACTGAAGTCCATTTAGCATGGGCCTGCTGCATGCTGCAGGGACACTCTTGCCCTGAGCCTGGGCCCTCGCTGGCACGGAGGGAATCCCCACTGTCAGAAAAGCAGGACTGGGATAAGGAAAGTGCAGGGTACAGTGCTCTGGCTTTGAGGAGGACACACTTAGCATGTGCTGCAAACCTGCAGAAGGCTCGAAGGGGTGCAGAACTACAGCCGTTCCCCACGCAGGATGAAACACCCCCCCGTTTCCACCCTCGTGGCAGGACACCAGCTCGGCCCAGGCCATTCACCTCCTACGGGGAGGAACCCCAGCCCTGAAGGCTCCATCCCCACCCGGCTCTGCACCCACCGCACCCCGGCTCCATCACCTCCCGCATCCCCGACAGGCTCCCGCTGACGCACTCCCCGTGCCCTGACGGGTGGTGGGGAAGCAGCGCTGCCTGCCCGGCCCCCACCCCGCAGTAGCCCCTCCCCGCCCATCCTGGCCCCGCACGGCCCCTACTCGCCCACCGCACCGAAGCCCGGTCCCGGTCCCGCTCCGCCACCGCGCGGGAACTCGCGCGCCTAGCATAGACGGGTGAGACACGCCCCTCTCTGCATCTCGACCAATCAACGCCTCGCTCCGCCCCGGTAGGCTGGCGGCGGTGATGGGGGGGGGAAACACACTTCGACCAATCAGCGCCGCGCTCTTTCCCCTCCCCGCGTCCTATTGGCTCGCGTCGAGGCGGGGCTGGCGGCGCTGCCAGCACGTGGCGGTGGAGGCGCGGGTGTCCTTGGCCGGAGCTGGGGGCAGGGGGGGGCGCTCCTCTTCTGTCACCCCTCCTCTGCCATCACGCCTCTGCTGTCACCCCTCTGACACCACCCCTCCTTCGCTGTCACCCCGCTGCTGCCACACTTTTGCCGTCACCCCTCCTCTGCCATCACCCCTCTGCTGTCACCCCTCCTCTGCTGTCACCCCTCTGACATCACCCCACAGCCCCAGCCCTTGCCTGCTGTGTGCCTCGGGGGGGTGTGTGTGGGTCCTCACCCCCAGCCCAGGGGGCTCCCAGCACCCCACGGTGCCTCCTGCCTCCCCCATGAACCAGAGGACCAGATTCCCCCTGCCACCTCACACTGGGCCGGGAGTGCTTCCAGCTGCCACCAAATCCCCAGGCTGCTGGCCAAAGCCAGGCCTCCAAGGCGAGCGGGCGTGCTGGGCCACAGCACCACTGCCATGGGGAGCCCTGCCTGTCCCAGCCCCCACCCTGGTGTGCCCAGGGCGGTGTCCAGGAGCTCGGGGCAGGGAAGGAAGCTGCCGCGGGGGAAGTAGCGGTACAGCCAGGATTTGGGCTGTTTTCCTCATGCTTTGAATTCGAGTTAGCGGCTGGGCTTGGGTAACCATCCCCAGGGAGCCTGCGCCGTCAGGGGTTAACGCACCACAAATTGAGGAACAAGATTTAGGGAATGAGGGATCCTACTAAATTCCTCGTGATCCCGAGGCACAGGAAAACGGGACGAGGCAGTGTTGAGTCACCATGGAGAAGAGCAGTGTCTAGAAGGGGACTCAGCTAGGAGGTGAAACCACTGGCCGTGGGCAGAGTGGCAAAGGAGTGTGGCGCCACGGTGAGTACTGCGGGGTGCCGGGGCAGGCGAGGGGAATTGCAGGCACGTCGCGAGGATGGTTTGTGGGTTATGGGTTGACACCAGGATACACTGTGAGTACTGTTCTGCCATGAGAGTGTATCTCCCTGGAGGGTAATTGGAGCAGGAACAGCGTTTTACTCTTCATCAGTCTAGATGGTTTTTGCTGTCTTGTTGTTGGTCATCTGAAGAGGACTCATCACAGCCGAGGGATCTGGGTTCCCATGGTTCTGCTGTGGGCTGATGCCAGCTTGCTGCTGTAGGTTGGTTTTGTTCTGACAGTGACGACATCAGCAGCAAAACTTGGACTGGTTCTGGCCGTGGCAGTTTCTGTGACGTGCAGAGCGGTGTCAGGGTCGTGTGGCTGCGTGCAGGGCACTGCTGCACAAGGAACACCATGCTGGGCAATGCCAGCCCTCTGCCCCACAGCACCTGGGGCTGCAGAAGCAGCTGTGAGCAGAAAATCTTCTTTATTATTATTATAATTCATTTCCTGGCTTAAAATGTCTCTTGGGACAGCAGGCTGGCAGTCAGGGTGGGTGATGAGCTTTGTGGGGACCCAGGGACTTCCCATGGGATGTGTAATTGGCTTTGTCGTGATGGATCCCTGCGTTAACACTGGGAGCAGTGACACTCTGAGCTGCCCTCACAGTGGCTGAGCTTCTGCTCAAATGTCTCCCCTGCCCCATGGTACCGCCCCTTCTGAGAGATGTTCAGGATCAGATCAGACCAAGACATCCACAGACTGTCCTCCTCCCTGTTCACTGGGGTCTTGCTCAGATGGCTTAAATTCCTTGTGCCTCAGAAATATTTATCTGCTGTTCTGAAGCCTTGAAGATGCTATAGAGAAGGAGAGTTGTTATTAAGTGGATATTCTGGCTTTGTATATACATTTTGTGTTCAGTCACTAGCAAAGATTTTAATCTCCTCTGAGCTGTAGAACTGCAGGTAATTGTGGTGCGTGCTGTTATGATTTCAGGACTCAGTTTGCTGGTGATGGAGAGCGTCTCTTCCTCCCCTTCGCCCTTCTCTGCCAGTTCCCCCACTGTGCAGTCAGAGAACTCCACTGCCCATGACTTCTACTCTGGCCTCCAGAAGAGCATGCATGTCCTCTCCATGGTGGTGTACAGCATCGCCTGTTTGCTGGGGGTGACAGGGAATGGCCTTGTCATCTGGATTGCAGGCTTCAAGATGAAGAAGACGGTGAACTCCGTCTGGTTCCTCAACCTGGCTATTGCTGACTTCATCTTTACCTTTTTCCTGCCCCTCAGCATCGCCTACACCGCCCTGGGCTTCCACTGGCCGTTTGGGAAGCTCCTGTGCAAGCTGAACAGCACCATTGCCTTCCTCAACATGTTTGCTAGTGTCTTCCTCCTGACGGTCATCAGCATGGACCGCTGTGTTTCTGTGGCCTTTCCTGTCTGGTCTCACAACCGCAGGAGTCCGGAGCTGGCAGCCAGGATTGCGCTGGGGACCTGGGTCCTGGCTCTCCTCCTCAGCTCCCCGTACCTTGTCTTTCGGGACACAGTGGTCGGTTCCAGGAACATCACCAGCTGCTATAATAATTTTGCGCTGTCCGATGACTACTCATCCGAGGCAACACGGAGGCTGTGGAGGATGCGGCATAAAGCGATGATCATAACGCGATTCTTATGCGGGTTCCTCATCCCTTTCACAGTCATTCTCATCTGCTACAGCATCGTCTCTGTCAAGCTGAAAAGGCGGCAGTTAGCCAACTCTGCGAAGCCATACAGAATTATCATTGCTGTCACAGTCTCTTTTTTTCTCTGCTATTTCCCCTATCATGTCTTCTCCTTGCTGGAAATATCCAAAAACTCCTCCAGTCATGAGATGAAGATGGCCCTTTACATAGGGATCCCCTTGGTTTCCAGTCTTGCTTTCTTCAACAGCTGCATCAACCCCATCCTGTATGTATTTGTGGGGCCGGATTTCAAGGAGAAGTTTCGCCAGTCCATCCTGTCGACCTTCGAAGGTGCCTTCAGTGAGGAGTCGGTCCTGGGCAGCCTGACCAGCAGGCGCAAGTCCAGGTCTGCTTCGGAAGCAGAGGTCCCGAGGGCCTGAGCGGGTGGTGGTGTGGAGAGGGCAGTTCTTTTCTCTGCAGTTTCTCTCATTTCAGAGCTATAGTTGCGGGACTGGGGGCTGCAAAGGGCTGTGTATGTTAACAAAGTGTGATTTGATGTTTTGGAGGTATCTCAAACCTACTATAACTTCATATGTTACAGAAATTAAACAACCAGCTGGAGCTGCGGCAGAGTGGAAAGTCAAAGTATGTTTTGTTCCTTGTGCCATTTCCTCGGCTGCTTTTCCCCATGCCTTTTCCATCCCCAGGTCCATCATACCTGGCAAAATGTCTCCCTGGCTGGCTGTGCCGAGAGGGCAACCACAGCACCTCATCTTTTCTGGGGTTCCACCAGGGGGCAAAATCGGGTGCAGCTGCACCAGTGAGTACGGCTGTGCTGGCAGCGTATGGCTGTGCGGGAAGTGTATGGCTGTGCGGGAGGTGTACAGCTGTGCTGGCAGAGTATGGCTGTACTGGCAGAGTACGGCTGTGCGGGAGATGTACAGCTGCATCGCATTTCAGCTGTCCAGAGGAGAAAAGGAGGGAGAGAAGAGCTATTCCAGAAGTCTCCTATCATTAAATCAGTAAAGAAAATACATAGATCTTTTCCCATATATCTTTCCAGTCTGATGCATGGGCTGCTAAAGATTAAGGAGAAAATAATTTTTAAAAATCTAAGCAGCTTAAACATGCAGTAGGATCCATCCAGAGGCACTCTTACACATATTTTAAAGAAATAGGGTTAAATGAAATGGCTATATGTATTTTTGTAGGGTCTGGAATAACTAGTAAGACACTCATCTTTTCTCTCCCCAGATGTGTGGCAGGACAAATTATTGGTTGTGCTCCAGTTGACTCAGGTTTGATGTACAGCATAACTATTTCTGAGCAATGCTTGTCTGTGTGACATGTTTCTGGTCCTTAAATAGTGGAGATCTGACATTTTATATTGTTGGTGAACGAATATTAAACATCATTAAACTTATGTGAACTGTACATAGCCTGTTGTGTTGCCTGTGTGATAAAACACTTGTTGATCCAACCTGACTGAGCATGCTCATCTTTGGTGACAGAACAACTAGATAAAAAGATCAAATATGCAGAATTTGGAAACAAATCACTGGCATTAGCAACTCTCAGGACTGAAGCAGACAGGACTCTATCTGGGCGTGAGGACTTGCCTGGGGCACTCTGTCCGTGCGGATCTGATTGCCAGCCCCGAGTTCTGGCACATTGGTGGGTTTCACACCTTTTTGGTATGTTTGAAAACCAGTGGTTTAGTGAAGAAAGGAGAGCAAGTGTGGCTGAGCTGGGTCTGTTCAAGTATCACAATTGCAGACTGCTCAGGATGAAGATAGTGGGAGCTTTCTTCCCAGACTTGATCAACCTCTAAACTGCTTTAGTTTTCAGAGTAGAAAATGTTGGTTGTGTAAAAGGCAACAGCAGCGTAGTGGTGCTGTCATTCCCAGATGAATGAGCAGGTGACTGTATCACCCCTCCCTCTCCTGGCCTGCCCAATCTGCCTGTAAAATGGCCCAAAATACCATTTGTCCCCTTCATCCTGCCAGAAACCCCCTTGGAGCCTCACTTCTCCGACGGCTGGAAAATCTCTGACTCCCAGCCTGAACTTACATATTTACATGTGCTTCACTATTCTGCATGGATGACATTACTGGTGAGAGCTGTCACTTGAACATGTTAGGGATTAATTATGGGTCTGCAGGGCTATGCAATATTAAATGAAGGTCGTGATCCTGCAGGCATGTACTTAACCTTAAATTCATGCATAAACCTGCTGAGAACAGGGAATGTAACAAGACCATCCATATGTCAAGCATGAGTGAACAGAGAGATTTACCCTTTGCCACAAATTGCTGCCTGTCATCCAGATAAAACTGCAATGTTTGCTATGCAGCATGCAACTCCAGGGCTATTTACTTGCTCCTGGTGGTAAACTACAGCATCGATTGTCGTGTCAAGGTTGTGCAGAGCAGCGTTTGCTCTTTCTGGTTTTCCTTATCTGTTTGCAGAGCTCACGTAATTCCTTGTGACAAGAGAATCTGGGAGTGTTGGACAAAGGCCTTGGACTCCTGTCGTGCCCCTCTCCTCACCCTGGCACCCTTGAAGGCCAGGACTTGAAGTATTGACCTGGTTTGTGGTAGGAAAGAAAGCCATTTTCTGGGTCGGTTGGGCATCCAATGTGGGTACAGGATTTAAGTGCAGCAGGGTGGCTGGGTGATCCAAGGAATTACCACTGGAATACCGGTAGGTAATTAAGCTTCAGAGCACCATCTCCCCCTGGCATCCCAGCTAAGCGCAGCATGCCTTCCGCACAGCAGCTCTATTTCATTGGCTAACGCTGTCCAAATCCAGACCCAAGACCAACCTGTTCTCTCTCTCTCTTGCAATATCCCTCTCAGAAGTTACCTCCACTCTAAGTGCCACATTATTACACCTAAGCAAAATAGCATGGCTTTAAAAAGCTGAATGATTCCCTGTGTGATGGGGAAGGGACTGAGAAAGCTTTCGGACAGCCATTCCTGAGAACACTTGCCAAAATACAGTTGGGAGAAAAAAGGGAGAAGCGAATGTTTTATCGATGGTAACAGCCATTGCTATGTTACAGCATCTGGAATAGCGATGGGTCTGACATCCCAGGTCTGAGCCCCAGCCTTTGTGCAATGAGAAACCGTGCTGACATCAATGTGGGGTCAGGCTGCCAAGGGACTGGTTCCAAGATAAATCTCCCACTGTATCGAGTTCCCTCATGTTCAGACTATCTCATTATCACAGTGATAATTTTGATAGTCACTCATTCCTAACTGGAAGGCAGGCTGTTCATTCTCTCTGATACTCATGTTTGTCATGTGCTTATCTAGAAAAGCTTGAATGAAAAAGAAAAAAAAAAAAAAGAGGGAATTTTTTTTCCAAAGGCATGGAAACAATCCAAAGAGGTTGAACAACTCTTTTGGCAGCTGTGCCCCCCTCTGACGCAGCTCTGCTCTCAAGGCTACTTCGGATGAGATCAGGTGGGTGGAACAGCCTGAACCCCCCAGTATTTGCAGTGGTTGAGAAAGGTGCTGAACCCACTGCCCCACTGGTGTGAGGCCTCATTGGTCCCACGGAGGGGCTGACCCAATGGCCCTGCTCATACAAACAGCAGGCTGGGACGGGCAGAGCCACCGGGGCGTGCGGGGCTTAGGCTGCGCACGGGGGAGCCTTAGCTGAGAGAATCAGCAAGTTCTGACAGTCAAAACGTTTGGTATGAATTAGCAGAGCAGGGGGAGCAGTCTGATGAGGTCATTAGTACTTTGGTATTGGGCAAGGGAAATACAAAATCACCAAAACTTCTTGGTGAAGAGCTCAGAAAGGCTTGGCAGGTGATTTTTGGCTAGAGGTTTCGTCACAGGTTGTGACTTCTGAGTGCAGAAACTGCGCTGGCCGGAGCTGTGGTACACAGCTTCCCTCCAAGGAAGGTAGCAAGGGATGGTGATACTTCACTAGCCAGAGTAGGTGGGAAGAATTATGTCATGGGGCCAGTTTGGGTGAGGGATAACAGACCTCTGTGCTGAAAAGACGCCTGGCAGAATCCAGTGACAGCCTGGCTGTGTCCTGCCCTGATTCAATCACCAGCCTAAGTGGCACTGGATCAGTGCTCCAGTTTTGGTCAGACTAGGGTCTAGCAGGATGGTAAGAACTTCTTATACCTTTAGTGCAAGAGAAGACAACTGCGGTAGTTTAACCTTGCTGAGGGACAAGCATGGTGTAACTGAGTCTTGTGATACAAGTGCTTCTGTAACAGGATCTTAGATGAGGGGGATGTGTGAAGAATCTCAAGGAGTTAAAACCTGGGGTGAATCACAGCATGCAGTAGGTCCTTGACAGCAGTGGATTATTGCTGTGCCCAGCAGTTCTACGCTGTTTCAGCAAGCACCTAAGTCAGGGATCTTAGCAAGAGCTGTTGCTGCCTTGCTTTGAGGGAGAGAGTACAGCCTGTGACGAGAGCTGGGAGAAGCTGTAGAGATATCAGGGAGGAAACCAGCCAAGGAGAATGTGGCAAGTGGTAGCTGAAGAAAAGAAGGTATTTGCTCCTTGCAACCTGGATGAGGGCATGGAAATAGAAACTGGTCTCAGAATAGTTAAGAGAAAAGAGAAAGAAGTGGGAACTGACAGCCTTGAAAGGACCAGCAGCATGATGGTGGGTGCAAATGAACGGGAGGGAAACTGCAGCGAGGGAGTTCTCATTAAGGGGAGCTTAGTGAGAAAATAAAAGCGTCTGTGAAAGCTAGCACTCCCCATGACTTTCCTCTGGTGAAACTTTCCTGGTGAGTAAAAACTTTAAGTGTTCCACTCCTGAGCTTGGGGAATTGATTTGTTAGATAAGGTCAAGCAGAAGACAGTGCACAGAGGTCTGACAGCAGGACAGCTTCCAGATCTTGCTGCAATCAGGCAGGAAACAATACGGCCAGTTAGAAGACCAGTATTGGTAAAAAGCTTCTCTGTGAAGGAGGGATATTGGTAGTAGCGTTAGTAATGGTGCAGGACAAACCTCACCCAGGTCTCCTCAGCCTTTCCTGGTGTGGCAGTGGGGTGAGGGTGCCCCCTAGCCCAGGAGTTAACCCACTATTGCTGATCCAGGGTTGGTCCTGATTGGCACCAAACTGGGAAGGGATCTGGGTGCTCTCTGCTGGTTGTGCTTTGCTCCTTCCCTGTGCCTCTCCCAGCTTCTGCTTAGCTGTACAGCACAGGGTTGTATCTTTCTTTTACACCCCCCAGTCTATCTCTGCGCTGCTGTATGCAAAGCACAGGAGCTTTTCTCCCATACCGAATTGTCATTTAATTTGCAAGCTTGCTCTGTAGTGGCCAGTGACTAACTCAAGCCCTTCCTGTATGTTCACTAAATGCCTGTACAGGCCATGATGTACGTGTGCTCTCTGTAGAATAACTGTAGCTTAGTGCACTAAATGGCAAGTCGCGCTAGGACCAGGAGGAAGAACAGAGA